TTACTTTGTTTTATTTTATTTTATTTTATTTTACTTTTATTTTATTTTATTTTATTTTATTTTATTTTATTTTATTTGTTAAATGTTTATTTACTTTAGAAAGAGACAGAGAGGGCAGGGGAGGGGCAGAGAGAGAGGGAAACAGAGAATCCCGGCCGGCTCCATGCTGTCAGCACAGAGCCCGAAGTGGGGCTCGAACCCACAAACCATGAGATCATGACCTGAGCTGCAATCAAGAGTAGACCCTTAACTGACTGAGCCACCCAGGCTCCCCTCTCGCGGCTGTTATTTTTACCACCGCCTCTGATTCTAATTGTTCTGGAAACAAACTTACACGGCTTTGCTAGCCGTGTGGTCCTGTGGGCTGAAGGCTGGCTCTCAAATCTCAGTCTTGTTCCTGCTGACACAGGGCGGCCAGGCACATGGCTCTGGGTTGGGGACACACCTGCTAGGCACCCCCCCCCCCCACCTGCTGCCTCACCTTCGTGTTCCAAGCCCCATTCACCTTGGAGAAACAAGAGCTGATGTTCACTGAATACTTGCTATGAATCAGGAGCCGAGCCAAGCATGTGACCTGCCTCATCACTCTTTAATTTATTATTCGGAACCTTTGATTGTGGAAATGTTCGAAGGCAATCAGAAACAGACAGGGTGGTAATGAAGCCCGGGCCCTCACCCAGCTTCCCTAATGACTGAACATCTATCCCTCCTGGCTCTTTTCTTCCCCTTCCTCCTCTTCCGTCTTCTCTGTTTCCTTCCTTCCCTCACTGCTGGAACGTCCAAAGCAAGTCCTAGACGTAGTGTCATGTCACCTGTAAATAAATACCTCAGTGTGTGTGGCTACTGGATACAAAATTTAAAAGAAAGAAAGAGGGGCGCCTGGGTGGCGCAGTCGGTTAAGCGTCCGACTTCAGCCAGGTCACGATCTCATGGTCCGTGAGTTCGAGCCCCGCGTCGGGCTCTGGGCTGATGGCTCAGAGCCTGGAGCCTGTTTCTGATTCTGTGTCTCCCTCTCTCTCTGCCCCTCCCCCGTTCATGCTCTGTCTCTCTCTGTCCCAAAAATAAATAAAAAACGTTGAAAAAAAATTTTAAAAAAAATAAATAAATAAAAGAAAGAAAGAAAGAAAAGAAGAAAGGAAGAAAGAGAAGGAGCTGTTATCATAGCTATAAACGTAAACAATAATTCTTAATATCATCTAATGTTCAGTCTGTGCATCATCTCATTGAATCCTCAAAATAACTATTTGGAATTAAAAATATGATTGTTCCCACCTTTCAGATGAGAAAGGGAGTGAATGTGACATTGAGTGGCTTGTGCTCGGTCACCCAACCCGGCTCAGCCCCCACTCCTGGGGCCAGTGCTGGTGGGTGCCCGAGGGAGGCAACGCCCAGAGCCTGAGCCCTTGCTCTGTCATCCCTGGGCCCCTTGTCACCCAGCAGGCACCTGCTCGTGCAGGTCAGCCCCTGCCCAAGCCCATTTGACTCCCGGCGTTGCATCGACCTTGGCTTTCTCGCTGCATAAAAGGGCGGCCACAGAGCACCCACCTCCGACTCTCGTTCAATTCTTTATGCCTTTGACAAATATTTATTCTGTGGCTGTCTTGCTCCAGTGCTGTTGGTGGTGCTTGGGATCCAGCGAGTCACAGACGAAAAGTCTTAGCCAACACGGACCTGACAGTGTATATGCTCTTGTTACTCAAAGTGCGGTCCAAGGACCGGCAGCTTCAGCATCCCCCAGGAGCCGAACAGAAATACACCTCTGTCCCGGTGCTGCTGAACTGGAGTCTGTATTTTAACAAGGTCCATAAGACTCGTTACTGTGCACGGAGAAGTTTGAGAAGCCTCGCATTGGGCCACCGTTCTTACTCCCGGCTACACATGAAAATCCTCTGGGGAGCTTTAAAAAATACCAGGCCTGGGACCCACCCAGAACCATTAAATCAGAACCGCTGGTGATGTTTACAAGTTCTCTGTGCAGATGGGATTGAGCACACCAGCCCACGCTGATTGTTTGGAAAATAAATGAGCTCACTGTCTAGCAGAGTGCCTAGGACACAGTAGGTGCTAAACTAATGATCTGTTTCTCCCCTTGCCATCTCATCCTTTGTCCCTAGAACACCCTCCAACTCCTTTGGGTGGCTTATCACCTTTGCTGGTCCAAAGACATTCTTCGGCTTCGTGAGTTCCCGACCTGGGTGGTGCTTTTAGTTTGAGAACCCCAGAAATGTAAACTTGGGACCTTTTCATGGGAATCAGGCTGCAGGAAAGACACGAGCTTCTCCCCCTCATGACCTGGTTTGCTGAGCTGGGCTGAGAGCTGCAAACAAAAATAAATAAATAACCGAAGGCTCGGCCACATGTGCAAAGAGCTTTCTTTCACCCACAGCTGAGTCCCAGTGCAGACGTGACCTCATCCCACTCTCCCGCCAGGTGACGCAGCTCCGGGCAGGTGCCACCAGCCTCTGTGGTTCACCAGGCAGAGGCACCCGTTTGAGTCACTGGGCATGCAGGAAAGGCGTCTGACCGTGGACACCGGTGCAGAGCAGCGGCTGGCACCGCTGTCCTGAGTCACAGGAATGTTGTCCTGGGGTGGTGGCCTTGGCAGAGTCTCAGGGTGGTGGGGGTGAGCTGGTGTGAGGTTCCTGCAGGCCGCCAGGACGCTGCTCATGGGGCGGTTTGCAGGCCTGTGAATGAGCCACAGCCCCGGGGGGAGGCTGGAGAAGGGTCAGAGGCCCTTCTCTGAGAGCCACAGGGATCAGGCCTGCTGGAGAAGGCCTCCAGGGAGGAGGAAGACAGGGGTAAGAGCTATGAGCTGTCTCCTGGGAGGCCAGCACTTCCTGCTGGATCTCCATCGCCCAGTCCACTGATTTGATAGAAAGCACAATTCCCGCACCAGCCAGATGGGGAGACTGAGGCCTAGACACGGAGAGACGCTGCCCAGGGCCATGCAGGCCGGTCTGGAGACACCAAGGCCTGCGCCCTCTCTAGATATGAGTGGACAAGCTTAGGGAGCGAGGACCCAAACGCTGCACGGGGCATGTCTGGGGATGCCGTGACATGTCCTCCTGACCCTGGACCTTGGCCGTTCCAGGCTGGGGAGAAATGAGGCCAGCAGGAAAAGCGTGGGAAGGAAACTCAGGCAAAGCTGGCTCTGGTCCTGCGTTTGGTGCTTACGGGGGACTCTGGGTGAGTCACCTCACCTCCCCGTGTCTCTGCTTTTCTCATCTATCCCATGGGGTACGACCTCCGACCTCACAGCGTGGCTTTGAGGAGTGACCGAATAAGAACGAGGGTTTGTGAAGAGCTGCCGGGGTTGCCACCCGGGCAACTGGTCGAAGGGTGGTAAATAGCATACACACGCGCCCTCCCTCCCCACGGCTGAGCCCACAGCAGACATCACCAATCGATCGCCGCACTTCCTCCCCCTGGATAGGAACCTGTCTCAGAGCTCCTCTCAGGCCAGAGTGCTCCAGGCAGCCGCTTCCAACCTAGCAGAGCTTGTAAGTGACATGAAATCTGTCTTCCGTCCTTACACTGTAGGCTGAGAAGCTGCTGTTCCAGAGTCCGGCACCTCCAGAAAAAGCCAGAGCTTGAGTGAAAAATGCAGCAGGAAATCAGGACGGGGGTGGGAGAGGCGATCCAGCTGGTGTAAAGGGCTCTTAGTACCAAATGGGCCGTGGGCAGTGTGTGCAGCACGTAAGAGCCCCTGGCAGTGGGCAGGGTGTGGAGAGCACAGTCACAGGGAGCGGACACCGGGAGAGGGGCCCCTCTGGGCTGAGCCACTGCCTTGGATCAGGGAACTGCCTCTGCATCTCATTCCACGGGCTTGAAGTCTCTGTGGGGTCTCCACTGTACATTGAGGGAAACTGAGGCTGGGAGAGGCTCCAGTCAAAAGTATATGAAGCTGATATGGGCACCCAAGTTTGCCAGTTGCAAAAGCCCGCCTTCTGTGTGCCGCCGTTCGGAACGTACGGCCTGTTTCCTTGGGCCACTGGCCACAGTACGGCCGTGCCTGGGGGAGACCTGTTCTGGCCTTGGCACTCGGGAGCAGGAAGGCTGGGTCCTGCCATGTGCAGCGTCCGAGGTAAGCAGACTGAGGCGGTCTGCCTGAAGTCATTTCTCTGTTTCCAGTCCCCGAGGCGTTTGAGTTTGTGAACCTCAGACCAGGGGACGGAACACTGGGTGAGAATCCCTCTTGGCCACGCTCTTTTATGGTGTAACCCCAGGCAGCGCTGCCCTTTTCTGGGTCTCAGTTTACTCATTTATGACCGAGAGCCTTGGGACAAGTCTGCAATATGCCAGCACTGGACGCCCCCTCCCCACCCCCGCCGGGGGCTAGTTGAAAGGGCTGCGTCCCAGGCCGCTGGGTTAGAACCTGCACTGCCCCAGGGCCCAGGTGATCCACATGCTCACGGAGGGAGGAGAACCATCCAGCTTGCGAGTCCTAGGGTCCCCTGCACAGTCAACAACCGAGCATCCTGAAAATCACACAGTCAGCACCTGAGGCCGGGCCGAAGCCCATGCCTGCAGCTCAGGCTGCTTGTTCCAGCCAAGAAGGCTGAGCTGGGAGGGCCGGGCATGAAGGCCCTTGTCGGGATGGAAGGGAGATCCCTTGCGCAGGCCCACAGTGGCCAGGAGAGCCCAGCCCGCCAGGCAGCCGCATGGAGCTCCCAGTCTGGGGCAGGAGGCCAGGCACAATGACACGCAGAAGGGACAGAAGCTGCCGGAGGCCAGAGGAGGGTGTGGTCAGGGTGGGCCTGGGGCTGGAGGCTAAGCATTTCTCTCCACTGGGGTGCCGGTGAACCCAAGACCTGGTAGGGGGTATCTCAGGCCCCGTCGTGGAGCAGCGGGGGCCACAATTAAATTTAAGGGCTCATCCATTCCCCCCCCCCCAAAAGCACCAGCATTTTCCATCCCTTTTATGGATTTCTGAGGAATGATAAAATGCAGCTGTTTCGGCTCCTGAGCCAATGAAATAATGAAAGGTGGCCCGAGTCCCCTCCAGGGAAATCAGCCGCTTATTTATTCCTTTTGACTCGAAGACTTGTATCCATGTTTCATAATGAACCTGCCTCTCCGTCGCCCCGGCCCTCACCTCAAGCCACTTGCCAGTGACTTCTTTGTAGATCTCTAAACACCTTCTGGCGATGTGATCTCGGTTGATATTTTGCTTCATTTTCCTCCTCTGAAAAAAATACGGGTTCCCTAACGCCTGTGCCGTGCAGGGCCCTTGGCACCGTTAGATGAGAAATTGTAGCCCCTGGCCTAGAAGAATGCCTGGCATACAGTCGGTGCTCAACGATGCCACTTGCCTGCCCATTTGCTGCCTTGTAGATCTCCTGGAGGGTGCGGGATTCACATAAAGCAAGCTGCCTGCTGCTGTTCTCGTTCTAGCTACTCCCTTAACCACGAAAACAGCCTCGGCCTTTGTAGGCACGGATTGCCCCGATCCACGCGGTGGAGAGCCTCGCCGTAGCCTTGAGACAGGAAGGGCCAGCCTTTGCAATTCCAGCACACGGCTGACGCCCAGAGAGCCGGAAGGCCTCCCCAGGCCCACTCTGCAAGAGCAGATGTAGCGCAAGGACCAGGAAATAGGACTTTGCCGCCACCCCACTCACGTCCCGGGCAGAGCCTGGCTTCGGAACGCTTGCTCCGTTTCTTGCTCCGTTTCTGCCTCCTGAGCTGGCTGGACATCTTCGTTTCACCAGGGTCTACCCTTCAGTGTCAGAAAGTGACGAAGCCTTGAGCCCTCAGGAAGGCAGGAGGCACCTTTCCTTCTTCCTCCGTATTTCCTGACAGCCTGGCCGCCCACCCCGGGCCCCCTCGTAAGCCAGCGTGCACGGGGCGTGATGGGCTTTCTGTGTCCGCAGGTGTTTCAGCTTACCCAGAGACGATGTGGGGGGCCCGCTGCCAGGTGTGCTAGGGGACCTCTAACCCAGACAATCGTGGGGGCTCTGTTATTTGTCATCATCAACCGCTCAGGTCGACGGGCTATTGTTGAGTTTCTAGAACTACAGCTGCCATGAAGTGAGCCGGATTACATTCCTTCACCCGATATGCCCAAGTCCTGACACACCCAGTACCCGGGAAGGTGAACTGTTTCTTCATTTGGCAATCAGGCCTTTGCTGATGTAATTAAGGATCGGGACGAGAGAGGGTTCTGGATTGCGGGTGGGCCTCACAAGGAGACGGAGATCTGAGACACAGATACACACAGGGGAAAGCCGTGTGAAGGCAGAAGGGAGGACTGGAGGGATGTGTCTACGGGCCAGGGAACGCCAAGCATTGCCAGCAACCGCCAGAGGCCGGAAGAGGCCAGGAGGGATCCTCCCTGGGGCCTCGAGAGGGAGCAAGGCGGCACCAACACCCTGATGTCAGACGTCTGGCCTTCGGGACTGTTCTAAGCCACCCAACTTGTGGCATGTGTTACAACATCCCTAGAAAACGAATACACCACATAAAGAATGAAACGTTTAGAATGGGCTGTCCGTGTGCTTGAGATGTTTCCAGGACGGGTGACGAGGCCTCCAGCGGTCGGAAGCCCCTGAGGGGCTGTATGATGGCGGCTCTGGGGCCGAGAGGCCAGCAGGCAGCCATGGGCGACACTGCGGGGGGTGGCCTGTGCTTGGCTTCAAAGGCTGCTGAGCATCGGCGGGGTCCGGGGCACCCGGGCCGGTGTCGGGGTCTTCGCGTGCTGTGCCTGTGTGGGGTGTGCGACGCGTCAGAGCAGACGGCAGAGAGAGAAGCTGGCAGGGAATCATGGGAAATCGAGTCCCCCAGCTTCCTTACTGACCTTAAGGGGCTTGGGGGCCCTCTGCTCATCCAGGGCAGGTATTGTGGAGATCCCTGTGTTTCAGGCAGTGGTGGGAAATATAGCCAAACCATGCCCTGTCTCTTGCCGTCTACAGGGAGACAGGAGTCCAGGAGGTGGACAACCCCAGCCTGAGGGGCGAGGGTCACAGAAGCTCGTAGGAAAAAATACAAGGGGATGGGAGCAAGGAGCCTTCTCCCTGCCTGGGGAGTCCAGGGAGGCTTCCGGGCAGAAGGGGTGAGTGAGTGGCTCCAAGAAGTTCCTAAGGAGGAGTCCTTTGAGTAGGGAAGGCACGACATGCTCCCCAAAGCGTGATGTGGCCACATCAGACTGGAGGGTGGGGGACCAGGACAGAGCACCGAGCGGGAAGAGGCGAGGGCATGGTGGGGAGCAGGGGAGAGGGGACTCGGCTGGAGGATGAAACAATGCTTTGTGACCAAATGGGAGGAAGGGAGAGGGCAGGGGGGTGGGATGTGACTCAGGCTACTGAGCCAGAGGACTCATGGGCAGCGTGAGGGAACTGCTTCTCTGTGGTGGGGCTGAAGGCAGGGTTTGGCCTGCAAGGGCCCTTCCCTGACTGGGCAGAGGAACAGATACACCCCCCCGCCCCCCGCAACACACACATGAACTGTCTCCCGACTCTGTCTCCCCTACCCCTTACTCTTTCTTCTTTGTCTGTAGTCTGTTTCCTACTAATAGGGAGGGCACGACCCAGCCCTAGCCCTAGGGCGGAGAAGGAGGGACAGGAGCCCAGTGAGAGCCACACCTCTGCAAAGGCAAAGGGCAGAGATGGATGGCTATATAGGCAAGTGACAAGGACACACAGACAGCAGGGACTCACCCACTGACGTACCACGAATCGGAGAGACACAGAGACTCCAGTCACACCATGATGTAGACCCAGAAAGATACTCAGGTACACACACACACACACACACACACACACACAAAGGCACACAGATGCCTAGCCAGATCGACACAGGCAGAGCCACGGAGACAAAGAGGCTTTGAGCGAGGCCAGCCCGCCTCCAGAACCCAGACATCCCAGCTTTGCAGTCCCCCTAGGAACCCTCTGAACCGCCAGGAGAAATTCCTGGGATATTAGCTAAATTTCAGACACAAACATTCCGGTCTCCCTCTCCAGATGTAATGCTCCTGAAAGCCTGCACAGCCCTCCCTCGGCTCGCCCCCACGGCCCCCGCTCCCTGACTCAGAGGAATGCTGCCTGTCGGCTCAAGGAAGGGGGTAGTTCAGGAGAGGTGGAAGGTCCACACCAGACAGGGAGCAGAAGGCCACACTGGTGGCGCTGTCTGTATACTGCGGTGGGGGGGAGGGGGAGATCGTGACAGATGAGGTGGTCAGGCAGAGCCTAGGGGCTCCCTTGTGGCAGGGTGGGGCTCCGCCCAAAACTGGGGCTGACCAGGCCCCAGAGAGGTATGGAGAAGTCTCTAGACTGAAGTCAGAACTCTGACTTAGAGCTCAGCTCTACACCAGAAGGCTTGGCTCATCATGGGGGCGCCTTGCAAAGGTTTGGGTCTTGCTCATCTCCCCACAGACGCACTGGCCACTTCTCTGCTCCAGGAACACGCCAGGTCCTTCCCACCTCAGGGCCTTTGCACGCACTGGTCCCTTCACCTGGAGCTCTTCCTGTGACTCAGCCTCCATCTCGGCATAAATGCCACTTTCTCAGAGAGTCGTCCCCCTTACCGACGTAAGCCTCTTCTTACTTCCGTTTCAAACACCTGGTTCTTCTCCTTCATGGCCCTGATCTCAGTTTGTAGCTGTTGCTTTACCTGAATGGCTTCTATTCAAGCCTTCCCCTGGGCTAGATCGGAAGCCTCTCGAGGATGGACCTCATGTCTGTCAGAGCTTAATACAGAGCACGTGCTCAGCAAATACAGGTCCTGTCTCCCGGGCCAACCACGCCATTTGAAAGCCTTCAGCCTCAGTCTCCGTATCTACAAAATGGGTTGGAGCTGCATTTCTCTCACAAGATTCCTGTGGGAAGAAAACGAGACGATGAATGCAAAAGCGCTTTGGCAAACGCCCCCTTGCCTCGAGTAAGGGCTGCATGGCCTTCCTTCTTACCCCCCCCCCCCCCCACCGCGACCCAGATCTAGACACAGACAGGCTCTGTAAACACGTATCGAGAAGTGCTTGCCTGCCTACGAAGTATGCTTTCAGAAGTGCTGTGAAGCATCCTAACTCTTTGCTGATGCCTGGAATCCACGGTTCTTATCACAGATCCGTGTCAACTCAGAACCCGTGAGAATCATCCATCACTCACCATCAAAGTAGAGAGGTGGCCAGGCAGCCCTTTCCCGGAGACACAAACAGCCTGGGAATCTGGGTGCTCTGCATCCAAATCAGCCTCACCACCGTGCGCCCCAGCAACTGGGACACCAGGGGCACAGCAGGGCACCAGCTTTGCGGGACATCCCAGGACAAGCCAGATTTCCCACTCTCTACCTACCAAGCCACTCCATCTGGTTCTTCCGTCCTGGTTTCCCGCAAGGATGGCAGCCAACAGCTTTGCCTCCTGCGAGGTGGCTGACCGTGGACAAGTCGTATGACATCTCTGAGCTCCAGCTGTCCCGTGTCCCCTCCCCCCCCGCAACCCCAACCGGCTTAGGGTTTCGCCGTGAAAAAAAAAAGTGGCTCAGCATATGCACAGGTCCCCGACGGTGCTCCTGGCACACAGTAGTCACTCAGGAACTTGCAACTGCAAGTTGCAAATGACGATGATGATGTTGGTGTTGGCGGTGAAGTCAGAGTCCCCAGATGAGGACGGCACGTGACTCTGTTGCCCTCAGCGGAAGCTGCTGGGTCTGAGATATGGGTCTGCCTGCCTCCCACCCAGACAATGCCTGCTTTGCAAGAGGCAGCTCGTTATGCCGGAGATATATGTCCTGTCGTAAAGTGTTTAATATTTTAGCTCCTAATTGCGTTACCAGAGACAGACAGCCGTTTATCCTCATCACTCTCCCATCGCGATCTTCGGCAGGACCCGCTGGGCCTCTCCAGGTGTTTCCTTGCCCCCTCTTCTGAGAATCTGGGGCGGCTCTATGGGCACCCGCAGGCTATTCAGTGTGGTCAGCGGTGAGTGGTGCCAGCAGGAGGGGCCTGGCTCGGCACCGTGGGGGGTTCAAGATGACCCTCCCCTCCTCCTCTCCGCCTGCAGCCCTCCTGTTTGTGAAGCACCGTGCCAGCCGTCCTCACCTTCTCACAGCAGTCCTGCAAGACAAGAACTGTTATCGTTGATCCCAAGATACAGAGGAGGAAACCGAGGCGAGGAGAGGTCGTGAATGTCATTCATTCATTCATTCGTTCATTCATTCCCTCGGCCATCCTTTTTTGGTAGGAGCAGCACAGGGAAGGTTCCAGGGACATTGGAATGAACAACACAGCCCCACTCCCAGGGACCCACAGCCTTTTCTCAATGGAAAGCGGCAAAACCTCAATAATACAGCTGCCCTTGGCAAGTCTCTGCACCCCCTCCCCCAGGTAGTGCTTACAGCCAACAAAGCTCTCGTTCTAAAACAGACCCGAACCCTAGGTCCAGAGCCCTTAGATGAAGTACTCTCAGTTTAAGGCCCCAGAAGCTTTCTGTTCAGACTCTTGTCTGACCCAGCCCCCACCCCTATCCCTCACCACGCGCGGCCCCGTGGAACCTCATGCTTACCACTGGCCCCAGACACATGTGACAGCCCCGCTCACTGTCCACCTGGTGGCCGTTCCTCCCCCTTCCAGCGGCCCGTCTTCCCTGCTCCTGGAGCCCTGATGCTGGCATGTAAACTGATCACGGGAATCCTAATCCCCTTCCCCAGACACTTCCCCGGTCTCCCTCACAACCGGGGTGACCAGTCCATGACAAAGTGGGTGAGAACAGGGGATTGTTCCGGACTGAATGTTTGCTCCCCGCTCATTCATATGTTGAATCCTAACCTCCAAGGTGATGGAGTTAGGAGGTAGGGCCTCTGGGGGATGATTAGGTCACGAGGGCTCGCCTGGGGATGGAATCACGGCCCTTATACAAGAGACCCCAGAGAGCTCTCCCTCCCTCTGTCTGCCACGTGAGACTACGAGAAGCTGACAGCCTCCAGCTGCCTCCCGCCGGAACCCAATCTTGCTGGCACCCTGTCCTCAGACTTCCATCCCCCAGAGCTGTGAGAAATGGATGCCCACAGTCCTCGGCCACACCGTCACTGATACTTTGTGAGAGCAGCCCGGACAGACGAAGCTTGGAGTGCCTGCAGGGGAGCTTCGGGACAGAAAGTAAGTAGAAGGGGGATTCTCTGGAGTCTGGCCGTCCCCTTCCTCCTGCCTTGAGCATCTTTGTGGGCAGGTGAGGTATCTGGCAGGGTAGCAGCCACGTTTGGATCATGTGAGAGAACACGTGAAGGGCAAAAAGCCTGGACACGGAGAAAGGCTGGGAAATGTGGGTCAGGCCTGGGTCCCTGCCAAGGGCACGGCTGGGGCTCTGTATGACGACCCTGGGGCCGTGCTCTTCTTGGGAAGAGACGACACCCCTGCCCACTGATACCACTACCCTCTGGGACCTGCTTGCTCCTACTGGAGGTGTTCTGACAGACCTCTTCTGAGCTGGCCTCTTCCAACCCCCTGCCTGGATCGCCCATTCCCTTTGCTTTTGTTTTGACCACGGTTTCTTTCCTTTCTTTCTTTTTTCGCTTTCAATTTAGAGACAGAGTGGGTGAGAGTGGGTGAGAGGGGCAGAGAAAGAGAGAGAGGGAATCTCAAGCAGGCTCCATGCTCATTGCACAGCCTGGCACAGGGCTCGATTCCCACCGCCCTGGGATCGTGACCTGAGTCAAGATCAAGAGTTGGACGCTCAACCAGCTGAGCCAACCGGGTGCCCCCTGCTTCTCATTTGTTAAGACCTGACTCAAGAACCTCTTTCTGAGTTTTCCTCACCTCCCCCTGCCGGCGCTGACCACAGGGCTGAGTGCCCACTCCTCCGGGCACCCACCGCACATGGTTCATACCCCTTTCACGCTGCCTTCACACACTGATTTAGGACCATTTCTTTTCCTCATCGGTCTGTGGACACCGTGGGAGGTCCCAGCCCAAGAAGGTATTCAGTCAAAGCTTAAGTGACGACGACCTGCTACAGGGTCCTGTGTCACTGAATTCTCCCAGAGACCTTGGGGACCTACATTGATGCTCACCTCCATTTGCAGGTGAGGAAACTGAGGGCAGAGAGGGGCAGAGATACCTCGGAGTGAGCTCTGGGCATGCTAGAGGGAAGCCGTTGTCCACAGCGTCTATGGGTCTCCCCCGCCGGCCGCCCCGCCTGGACCACGGCCCCCGTGAGCCATCTTCCTGCCGCGGCGGGCACCGCCTGCATCACAGGGCGGTGGGTGGCACAGCCAGGTGCCGGGCCCCGGGGCGGAGAACAGACCTCACTTGTCCTGGCATAGCCGCCGGGGAAGGGTTCAGGGGCCATTCTCTGTAGGCAGCTGGGGCTGGGGCCCATCAAAAAATAAGACCCGAGCCGGGCCTGCCGGGGGATGAAGTCATGTGGAAAAACACTCAAGTCAGAACAAAACTGTCTTTCTGCAAATGACTTCATCACGTCGCCAGAAGGCTCGGATCACTCCACCTCTCACCTCTTCCAGCCCGCCCACGGGAGCGGGGAAGACCAGTTCCTCGGGTCCTGTTACATCACTTAGCGAAAGTAAATGCTGCAGAGACTCACCCAGGAGGTGCTGGGGAGCTGACGCGTCCGTCTTCCTCCACAGCCGGGGCTTCCTCTGACCCGGCAGGCTGGGAAGGCTTTGCGGGCAGGCCAGAGCCTCTCTGCCTCTGTGCTCCCCGTGCTCAGCTCAGAGCCCAGCAAACATAACACAACGTAACACCCACTTCCTGCATGCATGTGTCCCCGCATTCTACAAATACTAACCCAACAGCTCTTCTCCCTCTGCAGGCATCGTGCTGGCACTGGGATTGTGCTTGCAGAAAGAGGAAAGGAGGCGGGAAGGAAGGAAGGAGAGGAGGAGGGAAGGAGCGAGCTCCGCACAGGAGCGATAGAGCCCAACGGAGCAGGACAGTCCCTGAGAGAGGTGTAAAACGGGCTGGGTACTGTTTCTCATTCCAGCAACGCATTTCTGTTCAGCGGGGTTTTCTCGGGCACAGTCCCCATTCCTGGAAGCTTGGTGGCACCTGGGGATCTAGGCAAGCCATTCCGGCACAGGGGTGCTGGTAATCTCGCACAGGACGTGGATGATGTCAGCGACTCGAGTTATGTGCCGTAACGGACAAGGTGATGTGGGGCACGCTGGAGAAAGTGTGGGGGAGGGGGGCTGGCCAAGGAGGAGCTCTTTGGAGGATGAACACACCAGGCTGTTGAGAAGGGGTGGAAGGACAGCCGATTCTCCATGTTGGAGCACAGGTGCACAAAGTACGTGACAATAGGTGGTGCTGGTGAGGCAGGCTGGGAGCCAGGCTACGGGTGGAGTGGGTTTCCCTGGGAAGGGAACGAGGGGCCATCGAAGGGCTGGAGAGTAGAGGATTCAGTTTATGTGTGCATTTCAGAAATGCCGCTCTGGACTGGAGGCAGGAGGGGTGTGCCAGAGAGAGCTACCAGGAGGCCCCTGGAGTGCCTCCGGGTGGTCCCACGGGGGACACCAGCTGGAGGAGAGAGGTGGCAACAGGTTTGGGAAGAGGGAGCAAGAGAGATAGAGATGCCCACTGTTCAAGGGTCTTGGAGACCACCCGGATAAGGGAAAAGTGGAGGCTACCAATGTTCTGGTCTGTTAGGCTATCAGTTAAAATCTGCGTTCTAGGGGCATCTGGGCGACTCAATCGGTTAAGCGTCTGATTCTTGATTTCAGCTCAGGTCACAATCTCACAGTTCATGAGTTTGGGCCCCACATTGGGTTCTCTGCTGACAGTGCAGAGCCTGCTTGGGATTCTCTGTCTCCCCCTCTCCCTCTCTCCAATAAATAAATAAACATTAAAAAAAATTTTTTTTCATTCTAATGTTATGGCAGAGAAACTCAAAACAACAGCTAGGCAGTCCCAGGCTGGTGTGCTGGCTTCACAATTGTCAGAGATCCAGTCTCCTTCCATCTTGTTGCTTGGCCATCTTCAGGCCCCAGCCTTGATCACGTGGCCAAGAATTGCTGCTCTGAATCCCGCAATCACAACTGCGTCCAGTGGTATGGGGGAAACAAGGAAGTGAGGTGCACTCACTCTTTCCAGAGATAGGACTCAGAAATCTGCTCACATTCCATCGGCTGAACTTAGAGGCAAGACCATACACGGCTGTAAGGGACACTGAAAGTTGCTGGCTGCCACGTGCTCCCCTCAAAAACCCTTCCTTTGTTGGGGTGCTCCTGGGTGGCTTAATTGGTTAAGCGATCGACTTTGGCTCGGGTCATGATCTCACGGTTCGTGAGTTCGGGACCCGCGTCGGGCTCTGTGCTGACAGCTCAGAGCCCGGAGCCTGCTTCGGATTCTGTGTCTCCCTCTCTCTCTGCCCCTCCCCTGCTCACGCTCTGTCTCTCTCTGTCTCTCAAAAATAAATAAACACTGAAAAAACGAAAACAAAACAAAACAAAACAAAACAAACCCTCCTTTGCGGAAGAAGGAGACTATGTATCCATGAAGGGACAATGGATAATGTTGTGTATGCCCTTTGACTCTCTGAGTTTGATATTTCATATTTGCCAAATCCATTCTGTGAAGAGTCCCACTTATTCCTAACCAAATAGATGTTAAATATGATCAACTCTCTGCCAACGGCGTGCTGTGTTTTCCTGGACAAGTCGAGTCCTCTTACTTGGCTCTGGTCTCTCCAACCATTGAAGGAGATACTGGAAAATATTCCTCACAGGAACCCGATAGGGCTAGCCGAGTGGGCTTTAGTGGTCTCCGAATCCTGTATATTTTCATGCTTGATTTGGGGCACACGTTTTTCTTGGGAGAGCATCTATGGCTTTCAACAGATTGATGAAGGGGGTTGTGACCCTAAAAAGTTGAGAAACAGACTCAAAGAACTACCGAGGGCCCTCCACACCCGTATCGTCTGGCTCCTTTGTACTCACCTTGCAGTGGACACTTGGAAAGGAGTCCAGGGAAAAGCAAAAGGCAATTGAGGGACTCCGGGGAGGTTGGAGAGCGGGCTCCAGCCCCATCCGGGCAGTGCGGGCATAGGTGTGGGTGTGGTCCACCACCCCCAGGGCTTCCCCTCCAGTCCTTGTCCTGGCTGCGCTGGGATTTGGCTGGGTGCGCCTGGCACACGCCGCCTAACGCCTCCCACGCGGTCCCCAAAGCTCCCAGCCAGGAGCCAGTTAGGATTTCAGAGGCACAAGTGAGCTGCTGTGTTTGGCCTGCCAGGTGAAAAGAACAGAGCCCGCATTAACGAGACGTTCCTCTCCTGGTATCGCCTTTCCCTTCTCAGGCGGTGTCTCGGACCGGCAGCAGACCTGTCTCTCCGGAGCCAGGGATTTGATATTGTCGTGAATGGAGGTTTTCATCCCCCACCAGGCGTCTGCCCTCCATGGCGCCTGCCGCTGGTGCCAGGCTTGGCATGTGAGCCCCAGCCGCGGCAGCCGTGGGTGGACGGGAGGAACTGGGCTCTGAGGGTCCCCACCCACTCAGGCCTGGGGCAGGGCGAAGAGGCATCCGCCCCACCCCACCCCCACCCCCAGGGGAAGGAGCGAGGAGATGGGCGCGGTCCCGGCTGGGCGCGATGGGCCCCGACGTACTGCCCGGACGGTGGGAATCTCTCGACAGCCTTCTGCTGAGCCAGACTCGTAACAGCAGAACCACCATCCATAGTCGGGATGGTACAGAATAAGGTCAGAAAGAAGGATTTTATCACAGGGGAAAGGGAGAAGGGAGAGGCATCGTGGCACCAAAAACACTTAGAGCAGGGAGGGATGGGCACCTCGGAACACGCGAAGGCGGGGAAGGGGAGGGGGCGGACGGTGGAGGGGCCGCCCCTGGGCACCACCAGGGAGATGGCTCGGGAAGAAACGAACTGGGGGGGAAGCTCAGGCCCGGGCTGCAGGGGAAGCCCCAGCTTGGGGTTCTGACAGCTGGAACGTGGCAGCTTCACCACAGGAGAGCTGGACCGGTAGGAGAGGTCAGGGCCGGGTGACAGGGTGTGCTCCTGCGGTGGCCGGGGAGCTGGAGACGGGCCTGACGTCCTGATGGAGCCGGTCTGCCCTGCTCGTCTGTCTGCAGGCCCTCGGGCCTCTTCACTCAATGCAGGTGGGGGACTTCGTGGCCGCAGCCTTTGACTGTAGGTGTGGGACCAAGGAAGGTGGCCAAAGGAAAACAAAGGGCAAGGAGGAAGGGCTATGCTTTCAAGAATTGCACACAGAGGCCTGCCCCTGGCTGCAAAGCCCCCGCCTGTCTGTCTGTTCTCTGGTCGAGGCCCGGGAAGTCAGGGCAAGTCTTAGAGACACCGCTGCACTGGGGACAGCTCAACAGCACGGTGGCTTGTCAAGCATCCATGCGGTGCTGGGTCCTGGAACGGGTGTGGTGGAGACAGAGACAGGACAGAATGAAACAACCCTCCCCCGGCCCTGAGAGAACTCACAGTCTGGTCAGGGTGGGGTCTGTATCTAAGAGTTTCCTGGAAGTCGGGCTCTCTGCTCCCTTCCGGAGGCCTGACGGGCATGTCTCGAAGACTGTCCTCGTGGCATTCCTGGGAGGGAGGCAGAATCCCTCATTGCGGGGAACAGAGGCTCAGAGACACTAAGCAACCTGTCTGGGACCACACAGCTGGGAGGCGTGCGAGTGAATTTTATCTACCGTTCCAACTGAACACAAAGCCGGCGGGCAGACCTGCGCTCTTCCCCGTGGGAGGTGGTCCAAGGATATGGGAAGTGGCTTGAAACACCGGAGGTTGGAGCTGGTCACAGACCTTCCAGTGGATGTTTGCCGAAGTGCACGTCACCCAGTAATTCCCAGTGGGGGAGACAGAGGGAGGAGAGGAACTCTTAAACTCAAAGGCCACCCCACCCGCTGGACAAGGTACTGGGCTCTGAGGAGCGTCGGGGGGTGAAGAGATCAGTCCCTGTCCTCTGGGAACTCACGGAACAGTAGGAAAGAGACGGCAAGTGTGTTTAGACCACAGGCACCGAGCCAGACACATCTCTGTCCCTTCTGAGCAGCGTGACCTAAGGTGAGGACCGGAACGTCTCAGAACCTCAGCTTTCTTCTCTCTAGAACACAGACAGGAGTACCTGATTTATTGCACGGTTGTGGCGATTACATCAAATGGTGTGTGCTAAGCACAGGGCTCCACACAAAGGAGGAGCTCACTCGTAATTACAGTTATGGTTCTTATCACCATCCCTGACAGAGCTGAACAACAATGAGGAGCAGTTAAGTTGAGGAACCCCAGGAGAGACCCAGATGAAGCGTGCCCGGGATTCGCAGGGCGGGGAGAGGGCAGGGGAGGTGGGAAAGATGCACGAAGGCTTCCCGTTTGGTTCTCGCTGTCGTGTTGACTTTTAGAATCCTCTTCTCTGAGGCCTCTTCCGTCTCACTCGTGCTGAGTCTCCGGGACAGGCAGTCAGCACCCAGCGACTCTCCGTGCGATGGCTGGATCGCTGTGCCGTGCGTCTGGCTGCAGAGTTTCGGAAGCCTCCAGCCAGGCCGCCTCTCTGCCCCTTCCCAGGAGCGCCGGCTCAGAGAGGTTCTGCGGGGCAGTCACAGCCCATGATGGCCGGGCAGCCCCGGCCTCACCCGACCCAGCCCCGGCTCCCGGCGCAGGGTGCGGGGGCGTCCCGGCTCCTGAGCTTTGTGGAAAGGGCAACCCGCAGAGCTCCTGCCACTGCCTGAGTCGGCAGGGAAGATGGAGAGAGCAACAGAGGTGAGTCCAGAGGCCCAGATTAGCCCCTGCCACCTGCCGATGGCCAGGCTATCCCCCACCCCCCCAGGGTGTGGCCGAGCCCTTTGCCCCTGGCCTTTCCAGGGTCTGCAGCGGA